GAGAGTAACAAATAACAACCATTAGATCAAATTAATAAGAGAGAGATGAAATTCAAGTTAATAAGAGAGAGAAATTAATAGTCACATCAATAAATAAGTTTAATCATGATCTAATGGTTGTTGTTTGTTCCTCTCATCTCTCATTTTAAAATCCCTCTCACTTGATATGCCCTATATATATATATATATATATATATATATATATATATATATATATATATATATATATATATATATATATATATATATATATATATATATATATATATATATATATATATATATATATATATATTGTGGAATAATCAATACAGAATCAAATGATTCGGTTTGTATAACTCATTAGGATTACGATTAGGATTAATGTAATTAATTAGCTATTATTTCCTGTTCTTTTCTGTAATTAAAATTAGCATTTATGGGAAATTAATTCCTCTGATTCTTAAGGCAGACATCTTTTCCAAATTCTACCTTGTGTATTCTATAAATACAACATATGTAATTCTCATGAAAGCAAGGAAATATAAAATATATTTCTACATGGTTTCAGAGCACGATCTGAACCATCCCTAACCTAGCGACGCCAAACTATGGAGGATCCCAAAGTTGACGAATCACTCAAAGTGGAGACTGGATCATTTTCGACCAGTTCACACGAAGGAATCACTGACCTCATCGCAAGCCATAAATTGAATGGTCAAAACTATATCCAATGGGTAAGGTTAGTCAAGATCTTCCTTGAAGGAAAAGAAAGGGAAGGCTACACCACAGGAGATTCTAAATGTCTCGAGAAAGGAGACAAAATTGTTCTGAAATGGAAACTTGAGAACAACCAAGTAATGCCATGGCTGCTCAATACCATGACAAATGAAATTGGTGAAATTTCATGTTCTATGACACTACAAAAGAAATATGGGATGCGGTGGAGGAAACACACTCAAATGTTGACAAAACATATGTCGTATTTGAGATAAGAAGTATTCTTCATGACCTTCGACACGTATAATCTTCTATTACTGAGTATTTTACCATACTTAACAAACACTGGCAGCAACTCGACATATATGAAGAGGTTACATGGTGTTGTACAGAAGATCAAAAGAAGTATAAGGAACTGGTGGAAAAAGAGAGGATTTAAAAATTTCTATTGGGACTAAACAAGGACTTAGATGAAGTTCGTGGAAGGATTCTTGGGATCAAACCACTTCTCAAAACTCGAGAAGCCTTTTCAGAAGTGAGAAGGGAAGAAAGCAGGAGGAAAATCATGTTAGGAACACCCAACTCAGTTTTGTACAGCGAGAGCTCTGCAATGGCAGCAGGAGGGAATCAGCCCCGACCACCACAAAAGAAAACTCGCCCCTGGTGTGATCACTACAAGAGACTAGGCCACACAAAGGAAACATGTTGGATCATACATGGAAAACCTTCAGAGGCCAAATTGTTCAAAGGAAAGGAGGGCAGAGGTAACACATCATGTAACAATCAAGAAAGTGAGGTATACTCTAACTCATCCTCTTTTAGCAAAGAACAAATGGAGGCTCTTCAAAAACTCTTTCAGCAAACCATGTTAACTGCAGAGAAAGATGGTACTGATGTAGTGACTCAAAGAGGTAATTACTGAAAGAGGAAAAAAAATCATGCTCTAAATTCCTCTCTTCAAAAGGTTGGAATTACAACCTTGCTCTAAATTCCTCTCTTCAAAAGGTTTGAATTGTTCACCAAAGCTCGTGTGTGGAAACTCCCCAACAAAATGGAGTAGCAAAAAGGAAGAATAGACACCTTTTGGAAGTGACTAGATCAATTATGTTGACCACAAATGTCGCACAACACTTTTGGGGAGAAGTTGTCCTTTCAGCAACTCACCTTATAAATCGAACGCCCTCATGTATCCTTAACTTTAAGACCCCACTCTCCACACTTCAAAACCCATTTCCAACCAGTAAAATATTTTCCTCCATTCCATTAAAAATATTTGGATGCTCAACTTTTTTCCATAACCCTAACCCTCACCGAAGCAAATTAGACCCAAAATCCATCAAATGCATTTTTCTTGGTTACTCTCTTCACCAAAAGGGATATAGATATTAGTCTCCCCATACCAATTTTTTTTACCATGCTATGAATGTAACCTTCTTTGAAAATCAGCCCTATTACGCCAACACTGGTATTCAGGGGGAGCAATCATACATCAAAAATTTTGAAAATCCAAAATACCAACATTTGCCTCTTGAACTAACCGAACATGAAAAAATCTTACCATACCAAACCGGTAACACTCAATCAGCCGAACCTATAACTACATCAGTTGAAAAATTACTAAACCAAACCTCTAACATTCAGTCGAGCAAAAGGACAACAGAAGCTGTGACGGAAACAAGACCAATTATAGTCTCAACCACATCTCAACAAAATTGTGATCCAAAAACAAGCAAGTAGAAGGGTTTTTGTTATAAAAAGACAAGGAAGAAAGTATAGTCAAGTATAGCTCCGATTCAAGGCCATGAGCCAGACCAAACTCTAGAAAATGAAGTTCCCACAGGTAATATTCTTCCTAACTCTGAACATATAGATATAAATACAACAGATATTGATATTCATATTACTATGTGAAAAGGGGTTAGAACTTGCACTAAGTTACAGGTCCTTTGTAGCAGCTGTTGACGACAGAGAAATTCTAAATAATATTCAAAAAGCATTGCAGAAATCTGAACGGGCAGCAACTGTAATAGAAGAAGTTCAAGCACTTGTAAGAAATGGCACATGGGAGATCACTACTATACCAGAAGGGAAGAAAGCAGTAGGATGCAAGTGGATATTTTCAGTTAAGCACAATGCTGATGGGAGTATAAACAGGTACAAAGATCGGTTGGTTGCTAAGGGGTTCACACAATCATATGGGGTGGATTATGAGGAGAATTTTACACCTGTTGTGAAGCTAAATTATATCCGGGTTCTACTATCTCTGGCAACAAATCTAGATTGGCCCCTGCACCAACTAGACATAAAGAATGCATTTCTAAATGGAGAGTTACAAGTAGAGGTATATATGAAAATTCCTCTGGGAATTGAATCACCTGGAACCTCCAACATGGTGTGTCGACTTCGAAAATCTCTATATAGCCTCAAACAATCACCAAGGGCATGGTTTGACAGACTAACAAAAGTTGTCAATCAAGATGGTTTTGTTCAATGTTAAATAGACCATACTATGTTTGTCAAGCACTATTTGGATGGGAAGATAGCTTTGTGTATTGTCTATGTTGATGATATCGTAATTATGGAAGATGCTGATGAACAAGTCAACCAGTTAAAGAAACTTCTAGCCAAAGAATTTGAAGTCAAATACTTAGGATAACTCAAGTATTTCCTAGGGATGTAATTGCATGAACAAAGAATGGTATTTTAGTTCCTCCAAGGAAGTACACTCTGGATTTACTTCAAGAAACAACAAAGCTGCCAATACTCCCATAGAAAAAATAAAAAGGAGTGAAGATGAAAATGTACTAGCTAATAAAGATAGATATCAAAGCCTAATCGAAAAATTAATCTATCTAACTCACACCAGACCAGACATTGTTTTTTCTGTAAGCATGACTAGTCGTTATATGTCAAACCCAACTGAAACTGACATGAAAAATGTGAACAAAATTCTCTAGTACCTGAAAGGTACACCAGTCCGAGGACTTTATTTTCAAAAGAACTCAAACAGAAATATTGAAGTATACAAGTATTAAAGTTTACACTGGTTTTGATTGGGCAGGATGTTTATCTGACATAAAATCAACTACAGGCTACTGCACATTTATATGGGGTAATATGGTAACTTGGAGAAGTAAGAAACAATATGTTGTGGCTAGGAGTAGTGCAGAAGCAGAATTCAGAGCTACGTCACGAGGTATTTGTGAAGGAATTTGGCTTAAGTGAATGCTAGATGAGATCAAAATTCCTACCAATCACCTCGTGAAGATATTATGTGATAACAAGGCTTCTATTAGCATTGCGAAGAACCCGGTACATCATGATAGAAGAAAGCATGTAGAGATAGGCCGACACTTCATTAAAGAGAAAATTGATCATGGAATTATAAGTGTTAACCATATTCCATCATTCCAGCAAACTACGGACATTCTAACAAAAGCCTTTTCAAGGAACATATACGAGAATATCAGATCCAATCTGGGTATGATAGACATCTACCACCCAGATTGAGGGGAAATATGGAATAATCAATACAGAATTAAATGATTCTGTTTTTACAATCCATTAGGATTAGAATTAATGTAATTAATTAGCTATTATTTCCTGTAATATGAGAAATTAATTCCCCTGATTCTTAGGGCAAATGTCTCTTTCAAATCCTGCCTTGTGTATTCTATTAATACAACATATGTAATTCTCATGAAAGCAAGGAAATATTATATATATATATATATATATATATATATATATATATATATATATATATATATATATATATATATATATATATATATATATATATATATATATATATATATATATATATATATATATATATATATATATATATATATATATATATATATATATATATATATATATATATATATATATATATATATATATATATATATATATATATATATATATATATAGTGCATATCAAATGAGAGGAGTAATTAATATGAGAGATGAGAGGAGTTAATTTAAACTATTGGATCTAAATCAATGTTTCAGATTTAATTAAATAATAGTGATTAATTTTCACCTTTAGTCACTCACGTGAGAGTTTTCATTAATTAGGAAAACACAATTGATATTAATTGTCTCACTTCCCTAGCTGACTTTCTTTCTTCCCTTGAGAGTTTTTATTAATTAAGAAAATATAATTAACGTTAACTCATATTAATATTTCCTCTAAGAAAATACATTACCTTCTTCCTCATTTCTTGTTTCTGAAAACCACTTACATATCATCTTCTTCCTCTTCTATTGTTCAGTGTTTCCTACTTTTTATTGCTATGGACAAAGTGATATCAATTGGCACTCAACTACCTAAGGTAACATCTTTTAGCTTGAAATAAATTTTTCTTTAATATTTTCTTTAACCAAAACAAAGTGCAGACAAGAAGAAATAATATACCAAATACGTATAAACATATTTAACATATTTATCATTCCCTTATGCTTTAATTTATTTAATATTTTTAGTATCCCTCATACTTAGGAAAATGATTTAATTTCTTTTTAGGTAATAAGATCGGAGATTATAAATTAATTTAAATATATTTGATATCATTGTGTTATTTTGTGATTTTTAGGAAAATGAATGGGTGCCAAATTGTGATGATGAGTTAAAGCCTAAGATTGGACAAGTATTTGATACATTAGAAGAAGGTGGAGAATTTTACAAAAAATATGCACATCATGTTGAATTTAGTGTGCGTTCATCATCAGAAACTAAAGACAAAAATGGCGTGAAGCGTTGTAAGTACTTTGTTTTCTCAAAACAAGGTTATTTTCCAATGAAGACAAATGAGATGGAGCAGAGTGAATCTAGTATCAAAGCTAGAAGAAGGAGTCTTACTAGAGAAGGATGCAATGCAAATGTTGTTTTCAAACGAGTGGAAGAAGGTAAATATGAGTTAGTTCGATTTCATGAGATTCATACACACGCTCTTGTTTCACCTATGAAGAGACCGTTTTTAAGATCAGCAAGAAAAGTGAATCCAATTCACAAGAATTTATTACTTGCATATAGTAAGGCAAATATTGGAACATAAAAAACTTTTCACTTATTAAAGGAACAGTTTGGGGGTTATCAAAATGTTGGTTACACACATAGAGATCTTCAAAATTATTCGAGAGATTTAAAGACGTTGATTAAAGATTCTGATGCTCATGTTTTTATTGATAACTTTAGAAGGAAGCAAGAAGTTAATCCATCATTTTACTATGCGTATGAGTTAGATGAATAAGGTCGGCTAAAACATGTTTTTTGGGCAGATGGTATTTGTAGAAAAAATTATTTGGTGTTTGGGGATGTGATTTCATTTGATACTACGTATCAAACAAATAAATATTCTATGATTTTCGCACCTTTTACTGGAATAAACCACCATAGACAATCTATAACTCTTGGAGCAGGATTTTTAGCAAATGAGAAAATTGATTCATTCATATGGTTGTTCCAAAAGTTTTTGGAAGCAATGAGAGGAAAAATGCCAACTCTTCTAATAACTGATCAAGATCCTGCCATGAAGGTAGCTATAGAAAATATTTTTACTACCTCTACTCATAGATTTTGCATGTGGCACATAATGAAAAAAGTTTCTGAGAAAATAGGTGGTTCTATGAATGCTAATGAAGAGTTCAACACGAGTCTCAAGTCATGTGTTTGGGGGTCTGAGACATCAAATGAGTTTGAAGCTACATGGAAGTCTATAATGACCAAACTTGAGTTAGAAAATAATGATTGGTTGTCACATATGTTTGATATTCGAGATATGTGGATTCCAGCATACTTTAAAGATATTTTCTTGGCTAGGATATTGAGAACTACATCAAGGTCAGAAAGTGAGAATTCTTTTTATGGTAATTTCTTGAATCCAAATGTTAGCTTGGTTGAATTTTGGATGAGGTTTGATTCGGAAATAGAAGCACAATGACATAAGGAGTTACTTGCCGATAATAACTCAATTCATTCTACACCAAAGTTAATTATGGATTGTGGCATAGAGAGACATGCGAGAGATGTGTATACCCGTGAGAACTTTTACATATTTCAGAATGAATTATGGCTTGCATGTGTAGACTGTGGAATTGAAAATAAGAAAGAGCAAGATGGAATATAAATATTTCATATATATGATAATGGCAAGGTCAATAGTAAACTTAGAGAAGTGGTGTATAATTTGTCTGACCATAATGCCAACTGCTCATGTAAGATGTTTCAGGCTGAAGGAATACCTTGTAAACACATATTTTGTGTTTTAAAGGGTAAATTTCTAAATGAAACACCAAGCAAGTACATTGTGAATAGGTGGACTAAGTTTGCAAATAGAAAACCTATTATGGATATAGCTGACAATGTCTTGGATAAGTTCTCTAATTCAGAAAAGGATAACAATCTCATTTCAGATGTGTGGGATCACTTACTTAAGTGTTTGGAAAAGGCAGGACAAGATAAGGAAAAATTGCTTCTTGTGTTAAATGGGGTTGTTAACATGGAAAAGCAATTGGATGAGTTTGAAGAGAGTTCTAACCAAACTAAGATAGGTGATTTGCAAATCTTTATCGGATCCAATATACCTGAAGAAGTAAAAATCCTCCCTCCACAATTTGCAAAGACTAAAGATAGTGGTAAAAGAATAAAATGTGGAAAAGAAAAGTCTCTTGAACAAAAAAAAAAAGAACAAGGCTTTGTAAGACATGTGGTGAATATGCTTATCATGATAGTCGCAATTGCCCAGAAAAACCATCTTTATCGTTACAAGAAGAATATTATAGAAAGGAACAGGAATAAAGTTATCACTGAATACCGTATAAAGAATATCACATAGTATTTTGTTTTTATTCTGTTGAAGAAGGATGTAGTAACAATTTGTTTTTATTCTGGTATCAATTTTGATTCTGATATAAAAACTTGTTTAAATTATAATTATTAGTTGTTTATTTTGATACTGATATATCAGTTTTGATTGATATAAAATATGGTTTAAATTATGATTCATACTAGCATTTTGTTAGGATTTTGCTATATCAGTTTTGATTTTGATATAAATTGGTATAAAACTGGTATAAATTATAATTAATGGCATATTGTTTTTAATTTTGTTATAGTAGTTTTTGATTCTAATGAAAACAATTGACATAATTTAAGATTAATAGCGGTTTATTTTTTTTATCTAATATATGTTGGTAGAAATTTAATATAATTTGTATCCAATTATGATTGTGTGGGAGAACATGCAATAAAACATACACGTGTTCAAGGGAAGAAACAAAAGTGTGCGAGAATTAATATCAATTGTGTTTTTCTAATTAATAAAAACCATCTCACTTGAGTTACTAAAACTGAAAATTAATCACTATCATTTAATTAAATCTGAATCATTGACGGAAAATTAATCACTATCATTTAATTAAATCTGAATCATTGATTTGGATCTAATGGTTTAAATTAATTCCTCTCATCTCTCATATTAACTACTCTTCTCACTTGATATGGCTCATATATATATATATATATATATATATATATATATATATATATATATATATATATATATATATATATATATATATATATATATATATATATATATATATATATATATATATATATATATATATATATATATATATATATATATATATATATATATATATATATATATATATATATATATATATATAATATATATATATATATATAAAGAAAATCATACAATGTCTAGTATTTTGTCACAAGAGGTATGAGTCAAAAATACTTTAATTTTGTGTTTGTTTTTTTCCTTCTCTTTTCTCTTATATTATTGTGTTAGAGTGGTAGATGTGTAATTAGATATATGAGTTGAACATTGTGGTGAAGTGAGATTTGAAGAGTATTTATGAGTAGTTTATGTGATGTAATAATTTTCTTATAATATTACTATTTGGTTATTATTTAACAACGAGTATTGTTTTTTTTCCTCTTATTGTAACATTTTCATATATCTCATGTGTTGTGATTGTATTTTTTTATTGTATATTTTCCCAACGATTGACATGTGATATTTTGGTTTGACCCATGAATATAATTCTTAGTATTCTTTTTGGTTGCAATATTGAATGACCTTCCACGTTAGAAAAGAATGACGGTGATGTGAAAATGTTGGTTTGAAAATATTTGTGTTGTGAAAGTGTTATTTTTGGAAAGGTTGCCTCAAAAAGACTTGTTACTTATCTGGATATGTTTTGACTTTCACGTATCTATCCTAAAACCTCAATGTCATATGATTTATAATATGGACACAACATAATTACACGTTATGCTTTGAAGTTTGAAGTAGATATAATTGATGGAAGAATTATTTTTTCATTATAGAAAATTCAAGTCATGGTAAATAGTACACGAGCTTTGATTGACATTGATGAACAATGTGATGTGAGATGTGTTGGTGTTTGAAGAGCTTCTTACTAAAATGAAAGTTGAACTATAATTTTTCAGTCTAATTTTTCACATGTAGAAATTCTTAAAGTGATTTAGTTTCAAGTAAAGTATACTTTTTATGGTAGAGTATAACAGTTATTTTGAACAATGATTGTTAGTAAAGAAAATGTGAAAATTCTTGAATTGATTTATCTCATAATGAAGTATACTCTTTATGGTAGAGTGTGATGATTCATTTGAACTATGATTTTTGGTGAAAACAATGTAAAAATTCTTAGAGTGGTTTAAAATCAAGTGAAGTATACTCGTTATGATGAAATATGATAACTATTTAAACTATGATAATCTAGAAGTAGATGCATCATTTTAAATTAAGGTTGAAAATATATATGTTGAAAATGTCTCACATTCATTAATGTTGTAAAGGAGAAAGGAAATCAAAACTATATATATATATATATATATATATATATATATATATATATATATATATATATATATATATATATATATATATATATATATATATATATATATATATATATATATATATATATATATATATATATATATATATATATATATATATATATATATATATATATATATATATATATATATATATGATTTGTTACTTGATGTACCAATAAGAAGTAACTTTATCTTATATCTCACTTTTTTCCTTCTTTTCTATTATGCTTTTGGATTAAAGTGTTGGTATTTGGATCGAACTCTAGTCTCAATAGGGATAACTTTATGGTTTGACAGAGTTGTGCGTATTTGTAGTCGAAGTATGTTCAAACATGCAGGTGTCAACGATGTGCATGCTATATTCAAAACTTGTTCTAGCATGTTGAATTGGGCTAGATTGCTAGTCCAATAGTTTAAGTTATCTTGTTGCTTAAGTTAGATTAGTAGTCTATAAATAGATTTTTTCTCTCAGGTTGTTGGGAGAGGTTTTTGTTGTTGATATTCACTTGTAATATTTGAATCCTAATATAGAAAGTGAATAGTAAAAGATTTATAACCAATCTCTTCTTATTCTTCATTCTTCTCCCTATTTTGTAAAACCTAACAGAGTTTCTTGTGTTTGTTTAAGAAACTTAATCTTTCTCATATTTTGTTTTTTTTATTGACAACATTGATTCATAACAAACTGGTGCGGTGAGCGTGGAGGAGAACATTCCATCAATAAAGTATGAGATTGAAAAATTCATCTGTATGAATGATTTCGATTTGTGGCCCTTAAAGATGCAAGCCCTACTAGTTCAGCGGGGTTTGTTAGAAGCGTCGAAAGGATCAGAGAAGATGAATATTTCCCTAAGGGAGAAGGAGAAGACGACGATGATCGAAAAATCCCACAGTGCCGTCATATTGAGTCTTAGTGATAAGATCCTCCGACAGGTTTCAAAAGAGAAAACTACAGCTGATGTATGGGTGAAACTCGAAGGTCTATACATGAAAAAATCGTTGGTCAATTGTCTCTACTTGAAGCAAGCTTTGTATTTATTCAAGATGACTGAAGACAAAGTCTTGGTTGAGCAACTGAATATGTTGAACAAGTTGATTATTGATCTTGAAAAATATCGAGGTCAAGATTGATGATGAAGATTAATAATTATTGTTGTT